GATCATTTCTCCGATTTTATCGACATTTTCGACGACCGGCCTACCTGTGCGAGGTGCATCTTTAACATCAAAAATTCCTGAACGGAATCTACGAAACCAAAATTGCACATAATTGGCTGTTACAGTATCGGAACCATAAACACCATTCACAGTTTTAGCCGCCTGGCTTGCATTTTCGCCTTTGTCAAAGAAAAACTGTAAAATGTACCGAATTTTCTCTTTGTTCACTTCCATTTTTAACACCCTGTAACTCCCAACTGAATGGACCAAACAAAAAACAGAAAAAGAATTATTTTAGTACGAAGTGCCACCTTTCTAACGAGCATAAATTGTTTAATTGATACTTTACGTGATATCGATCACTACAGCCATCTATCGAAAAAATAATGGATTTCTTTTTCCCCAACCTAATATAATAATAGTGCAATAAATCATAGCATCTACTTAAGTTAGGTTGCTCAACATAGCATTTGTACTAATATTATGTGGGAAATGTAAAAATTATTACATATCAGTTGCGCAAAAAAGCCTTGTAAATAAATTTTAACTACATCTGAATATTTTTGTCAGAAATTTGACTTTCATCTTTTGCAAACAAAATCACATATAGTCACATAAAGTTACATATATTCCATACATATATTCATATCAATTTCGGTTCTTTCCTATGTTAATTAAATAGCTTTTCATTGTACAGAATCATGTGATAATATAAGAGATAACTTCTGTAAAGTACTATAAAAGAAATATTGGAATTCAAATATTATAACAAAAGTATAACTCATTTTATGGATGGAAAAAGATGTACAATAACAACCTGAATAACATTAAATATGTTATTTTCGACTGCTGGCTGTTTGATTTAAGGTCATTTGCCTCAATACCGTAGACGCATATATCAAGGGTAACTATTAAGGGGTTCATACTCTCTGGAAATCTCTCTCTTCTACCAGGAAAGACTTTCTGACTTATGCATAGCATAGGAAGCATAGAAGGCTTCAGTTATCGGTGTCGTTTGCCAACTTTTAAACCCCATTACTGTAATACGGAAACCAAATGCGCCACCCACTGGGGTTCTTCAGACGATAATATTACAAATAAATAAGTTAAATATGTTTTCTGATAATATAGATTTACATCTAAATGTTTTAGACAAACGAACATTTCTTATCAATTTCCACTTATTTATCAAGGGAGATCAGATACAGTTTATTAGCTTCGCACAAATAGCTATATAAATCTGTTATATTAATTATGTAAATAAACTTCTATGAAAATAATTTTAATCGTATCGTTTAATTAACAATTAAACGAAATAAATAGCTGCATAAAATTCAAATTTAATTCAATCCCATTTGAGATTACCCACAATATTACAGAAATAAGAGATAATTAAGAGCAAAATGATTTTACGACTAGAAGCTCACAGTGCCTAATAATATGATTTGTTTTAATAATATAAAACATTAATATTTATTGTTATTTTTCGGTAAGCACGCACACAAATACAAACACACAGATACCTATATATATATAAAATGAAAAATATATGATATATTAAACAGTCAATATGTAATTAAATACGTGACATTATATTAATTACGTGACATGCATGTTTTAGAATATAGGCAAATATTTTGTAGTAAAATAACACAAAAATGATTACAAAGAGTTTATAGTGATTACTTTTTTTATTGTATATGCGTGTCGCCAAATATATGTAGATAAAAGAATCTTGCACATTTTAATGCATTATGTGAAAACAACCACAGCCGTATTGTTGCATGCAATTTTGAAATACATACATGTGTTTTTTTGGCAATTCCGTGATATAGGTTAGCAATTCTTGCAAAAATGCTTGTCCGTGTTCAATGCCTTGATAACCAACATAACTGAAAATCGGTTGTTGAGGTAAAAAAGAAGTAAAAAAAATGATGTAGTTTGCAACCTTTACATCTATACTAAAGACATTATCTCATAGCTTGTAAAAAATTAAAAAACAACGAATAAAATGTTTTTCCAATATTTCATTAAACTAGATCAGGATAATTTCTCATTTTCAATTGTTCTTTAAAATGTGAAAATATTTCAAGAAATTATCTTTGCATATAGTTTTTTAATGTAAATTGATCTCAGGTAGGATTGCAAGAAGATAAACAGAAAACTATGGTTGTGAATATTTAAATATATTAGTGAAAAATTCACCTTTGTTTTTGAGGTTTCCATATGCGACAAGCCTTTAACTTAGTCACCAATAAAACACCTAAGGATGTAATAGACTCATGGTCACTTAGAATTGCCCTTGTTAATTGAATCTATATTTTTCCACTGTATATTTAAAAGGACATACCAAAAGATAGATGGTTCGAAAAGAGGGTTCGGTCTTTTCGAATGCAATGGAAGGACATTCAGGGTCTTCAGATTCATTATTCCCTTCATTGGCCTAGATACTTAAGCTTTTGATTATATTCAGCATATTGAATTATGAATCTGGTTTCCAACACATATGAGATCCAGACTCGTTATGTTATCAATCAGACTATCTTTTATTTATGAATTTATCTTTGAGCAATGTTTTATATTTTAAGCACAGTAAAATCAATTTTTTTGTTTTTCAATTTTGATTTGAAAACTACAAATTTAATCATTTCTTTTAAGAGACGGAAAATATGTTGCATAATGAATTCCATTGAACAGGAGGCCAAGAAATCGCAGATCTGATTTTTTTTTTGTGTGTCCCCATTAACAATCGGATTCAGAGCAGACCTACATCCATCTTAAACGGGTGCAAGATAACAATGCAGGCGGCAACAATGCGCAGGGCCAAGAGGCGCCTTCATGCACTGTTGAAACGTCCTCGCGTGAATATGGAAAAGAACTCCAAGAGGAGGTGATGTCAAGGAGGAAGCCGGACCTCCTTTGTTGTAGGGACGTTTGTGAAAACGGGCGTTTGGGGAAAGTGCATATATTTTATGTTCTTCTGAATCAGTAATGGCCAGTTTAGCGCCTGCTAGTATGGCGGGGAAAAAACAGAGGAGAAAGACGTATGTTAAAGAGGACTACCGTGTTGGATGGCATTGTTGTGTCGTGAAGTTTGGCTTGGGTGATTTTTGTAGCGTAGGGTTGTTTTTTTTATCCTGCCTTTCTTTTTTTGGTAGTGTTATGAATACGATGGAAGAAAAATGGAGATGTAAAAAAAAAATAAGCATTTGGTTAGGAGTCAAGTATACTGAATGGAAAACAAGATGGTTTGGATAAAAATATCCGCACATAAGAAATACACACATGTGACAAATTCAAAGTTTAATTTAATTTTTTTATATATATTTTTCATATATATTTAAAAAAATTTGGCTTTTTTATGTTGATAATACATTTGATTTGTTTTAGATTTATAAAACAATCGAATAATTATTCATAAGTGCTTCAGGTTTTTTTTTTTTTTTTTTTTTTTGATCGAAAATCATAAAGATGGTATATATAAAAATAATGTGTTAAAATAATTTACAACATATTTAAAAAATGCACTTTCTTGAAATAGTAGAATAATTTATTTTTTATAAAATACTATTTTCAAATCATTTGTAAGAAATATATCATGTTTCCATTTATAAAAGATAAATGGAATTTCCTTTAAAACCTACTTATTATTCTTAATTCTAGCCAGTTAAATAATTAAATTCAAAAGATTTGTTTCATTAAAAACGAGTTCAGATCAATAGTATTGAAAGGTAAATTATCTTAGTCCATATATAGTTCCTTAATTGTCTAAGAAAAATAACAGAATTTTATGATTAAGTATCAATAATTTTCTCTAAAAGATTGAAAGAAATTATAGGTAAAAAGTAATGTTTTTTTTTTTGTTTTTTCAACAATGTAAATCATTGTTATACAACAACCATGCGTGATTTTATAAATTCATTTGAAATTAAATGTGTTTCGGTCTTATTTTTAAATATCTTTTTCTGAAAAGTTCCTAAACTTTAGTACGATTTGAATCCAAATATATTTTATGTAAAAGCTGTTTTTGAATATTCAACTAGTCTTGTCGAATTTGAACAAAATATGTCTTGGTTTATGTCATAAATTTAATTTAAGCTTTTTAGCCAATTAAAATCAGTTACAAATCAGCAATATTTAATGAAATTTTATATGAGAAATGTAACCCAAATAATAAGGAAAAGCAAAACGAGCATATTTAAGGAAGTTCTAAAGTACAGAAAAAAAGTTATATACAATCAAGAAACAGGAAAGTACCTATTCGATTACAATCTTTAAAATTATACGATTATTCAGTAAATTTTTCAAAGAAAGAGAACATAACGAAAAACGGTTACCAACCATATTACTAAAATTACAAAAAGAATAAATAGTTATTTCAAGGATTCCATTTAATGCTGCTTACAAAGGTCTGCTACAAAATGAAGAGCAGTCACCCCGCCCACACAGTAAGTCCATTAGATTATTCAGTGAAAAGATGTTTCATGCTGCCTTTAAAAATCATACATTTCATATATTTTAAGTTATTTTTTTAAGATGGCCTTTTTTCCTGCTAATCAGTCAATTTGTCAACAATGAATACAAGTTTATAAAACTTTCTTTAAAAAAAAATTATTTTTAATTATTGCTCTTTAGGTACTGCAGAAAAAAATCTGAATACTAAAATAAAAAGAAAACCATATTACATACGATGTCACTGAACATACTTCATGTGACTTACATATGTTGTTGTTGTTTCTTATCCCACTTGGCTGGCCAAGCCCACGAGCCCATATGGACTCATGATTGAAGGGGAAGGAAGCAGCTTCTGTTGTGATGGAGCACCCGTAGGTAGAAGCCTGACTTTTTGCTCCCGTGACGCTCTTACAGTCATAGAAGACCGGGAACGGCTTAAAGTGGATTCGAACCACTACAAACATCCATGGCACCGCCGGGATTCGAACCCGAAACCTGTGGCACCGAGCGCCAGACTGACACATTCAGGTCCCAAATTTCATGTTGGTGGTCACCCACCCAAGTACTGACCGCGCCCAATGATGCTTAACTTCGGTGATCTAACGAGAACCGGTATATTCAGCATGGTACGGCCGTACTTACATATAAATTTGTATTGATTCATTTGTTAAGAATCATTCTCCGCTCGTTTTCAAAGTAATAAAAAAAAATAGCAAATTTTTATTTCAAAACTGAAATCCGATTTTACTATAATCAGGAAGAAATAAAAATAGACTTTTCCATCAGGACTTTAAATTTAAAATGTGTGCAATGACTCAAAATCAAATTCGTATTTCAGCTTTTTTCATATCGAATGAATTGATTCGGTCATAATTTTGGAGACTTTGTTGTACCGCATCGGATCCAAGCGTGGCATTGTCATTCATTAACTATCTGACCCTCCAACCGCAAACTCCCACATTAAGACATTGTCCGTCACGTGACTCCTGCCGGAAGGCCTCACGTGCCACGCACACCGTCCAACCGGAAGTAACACCGTCCGGAAGTGACGTCGCGCACCGCAAAGTGACGTCCGCACAATCGGTCCCGATTAGGGAACAAAGTATCTTCCTCAATGGAAGAGAATCAATTTTTCTTTGGGTTCTCGCGATTAAGCCCCCAATAAAAAAAAAAAAAAAAAAAAAAAAAAGAAAAAGAGAGAGAGAAAAAGAGAAAGAGAAAGAGATGGAAGTAGAGAATGAGGAAACAGGGCCCCCAAAAGCCAGAGTGTAGGAAATGGCGAGCGAAGATCTAATGCGTTTTTGATGGAAACCGCGCATTGTGGGGAAAAAGTGAGGCACGCCAATGCTTACTTTTGCGTGATTGGAAGACGGTGATTACTAGAAAAAGTCCTAATAACCGACTCAGCTATACGTGCTTGTATGGAAAAATATTTGAATGGATGTGGCTTTGAATCCTTTATTAGTATCCAAACTTAGCGTTTTCTCTTCTGGTGGCAGGGCGAACACCTTAGAGAGGAAATTGTCTTTTGAGTGAAGTTGGACAAAAAAAATTATCCTTCAAGTTGCAGTTTTTTTCTTCTGGTTTTCATAGAAATAATGTATTCTTTTTCCATTTGTAATTTTAGGTGTGAAGTAATTGGTGTGTGGTTAAATGTTACAAAGTAACGCACTGTATAAAATTAGAATTATGCTGTAAAATTTTTTTTTTTGGTTTTAAATGTTTTATGCATTTCTATAATTAAATTTATATAAATAGAAAAATCGATGCTTACAAGTTGTAGGATTGTTATAGTTATCTTTCAAGTGTTATAAGCCATATATATCTACTTTGTGCATTTTTAATAAATTATTATTTTTTTAAATGGTCAGACAATGGTCTTACGGATCTGTAATGGTCAGCATGGTGGCAAACAAAAATACAATTATTTTAACATTTAATTTAATATTTTTGCTTTCCTTTTTGATATGTATGATAAGAAAAAAATTGGTAGAATTATTGCTCAGATTTTTTTTTGTGTGTTTTTTGGTTTTCCCCGAAATAATGTATTCCTTTTCCATTTGTAATTTTAAGTGTGAAGTAATTGGTGTGTGGTTAAATGTTACAAAGTAAAGCACTGTATAAAATTAGAATTATGCTGTAAAAAATATATTTTTCTATTTTAAATATTTTATACATTTATGCAGTAAAATTTATATGATTAGAAAAATATTTACAAGTAGATTTATTGTTATTGTTATCAAATGTTATAATCCATATGTATATATATATTTTGTGCATTTTTATAATTTTTTTTTTCAAAAGTGGTCAGGACTTACAATTACTTCATTAATGTGGCTTGCAGCAATAATAATTAATTTATTTATTTTACTTTCGTTTTAGATACGTATGGCAGGAACAAAAATTGTTAGACTTATTGTTCGCCATTCTAATAAAAAAAAAAAAAAAAATAAAAAAAAAAAACATAAACTCATAAAACATAAACATTTGAAATGAAGTGATGCATAATTGATTCTAACAATCACTATACTTCAAATCTACAGTTATTATAAAAGTAAAACTTAATATACATATTATGTAAATCTTAATGATCATAAAGTTTTTTTAATTATTATATTAAATATATTAACATAATTAATATTCAGTAAATTTATCTAAATTTTTGTATATTTAAATAATAATAAAATATTTAAATAAAATGAAAAAGTTCATAGAAACAAATTTATTTTTGTAGGTATTATTATTTTGATTGCTGCGTTGCCCTCTAATGATTTTCAGCTCACATTAAAAAATAAAAGTTAATGATGGCTCCCCGATCCAACTTCTGTGATGTTGCTTTCACTGTATGTAACATAAAATGACTGTAAAGCAAGTTCTACAGAGATCACAATAGAATAGGTTATAATTTTAAAATTTATGTTAGATAAAAAGTCTTCTAAATTAAATTTGAAGACGAAACTGAATAAAATCTAAAGAATTTAAATGCTTCATAACTCTAATGAAACGTAAAAATGTAAAAAAGTTTTTTTATTTAAAATTAGTCTGATTACTTAAGAAACTTCAAACAGAGCAAATAATAAATAAAATAATATGCTAGTACAGATAACATTTTGGAATAATAAAATAAAATTTGATAAATTTATGAATTTACAAAAATAATTGCTAAATAATATATATAAAAAGTAATTTGTACTGATATAATTATTTTTTTTTAAATTCTTTGATTTTGAGTAAGTTTCATTATTTTTAATATATTATTTATTAAAAAAATATCCCATATAAAAATTAGTAGTTTTAAATAATTTACTAAAACCTTTAAATTCGCTACTAATTTGAGTTTTGCCTGAAATATATTATAATAATTTACTGATAGTTATTTTAATGTAATTGAAATTAAAAAATCTCTTAAGATTTATATTATTAAAGGAATTAATTATTAAGGGAATCAATATAATTATAAAATTAAAAAAGTTATTATTTTTATAAAGGTGGACTTTATTTTTATCAGATCCATATGCAAAAAAACTTGCACAGTTTCTAAAAGAGCAAATATGAAAAATTATTAATAATTAAAAACTACAACAACTGATATGTTAATATTTATGAATTATTTAATACTTATGAAAGTGAAATGTTACTTTTAAATTTGTACCTGTTGTTATTTTATAAATAATATATTCATTATATTACATCCATAGTTTGTATCTTCTGCAAGCTCACATAAAAAAATACCAGTCCGGAGTGATTAAGAAAAGGAAAGGAGAGTACCGAGATCCACCCATAACGTGTTATCAACTAATGAGGAAAGAATAAAACAAAATTTTTTCAGGTATATTACCACCACAGAAAAAAAAAAATCTTTATAAGAATCTTACACTCTAAAAGAAACTGGAAAATACAATAATGAAGGCCATAATCCCCCGTCTATCCCCGTATATATATAAATATATATATACGAACTCTTTATATTAATTTATACAAGTTTTTAGTAAGGAAAATATATTAAATCAGTAGTGCCTTTTATATGTATACTTATTTCAACGTTTTTAACTAAATAACTAATTGAATGAATTATGAAGAAACCCATACTGTATTACTGAAAGTTTTTATATGCAGCTACTTCTACATAATTGCGTATAGGAAAAGTTTAATGTTTTGATTATTTAATTAAATTAAGTTCAAATTAGTTCTGTTTTACAACTTGAAACTATTCATAATATTTCGAAGTAATGGCTCTTACTTAATTTATGGAAGCGAAAATTTAAATTTTTGATTAGGGGAAATTGCGCAAATAAATAATAAAAATTAGTAATGACATTTAAAACAATCTCTTTTATAATTTATTATGTTAGAATTTCCATATATACTGTAACGTATATATATATATATATATATATATACGTTATTTAATTTTTACACTACGTCATACACGAAACCAAAAGGGATGCAATTTGGAAACCAGTGGAATCACCGGCCTATTCTGTCACTTCAGAGAAAAAATAAAAACAACATTTCTCGTCAACTCGTTGCAGAACTCTCTCTCCTTTCTTCAACAAAAAAAAAAAAAAAACTACTTTTAAGACAATCCGTCAAGAGAGGGGATTCAGCTTCCCTCAGTTCTTATTGGAGTAGTCATTTGTCAGCTCATGGTTTATCACCAATCACGATGGAACAACTCATTGTATATCTAATTTTCAATCTGTAGTTGTTTCGACCTGTGAAGGTCGCACAGACTTTCGCTAAATTCCTCCTGAGTCTCATTATACATGATACCGAATATTTGCTATTATATTTGAGTGGAAGGTGTTCTCATTAGTACAAAACCCTAATTGCATGTAATATAACTACTCACAATAAAGCTCGCTTGCTGTCAAATTTGAGTGATGGGTTGATACTATATACTTATCAAATATCATACATTCCTCTCTTATGGGAATGAAATGCCAAAACTCTTCCCGTGAGAAAAAAAATGCTACAATACTGATAAGAATAATACATATATGAAAAAATATTTTTAAATACAAAAATATTTACTTTAGGAGCAGTGCTTTTTATCTATTTATATAATTGTAGCTATGCGGAGATGGACTTAAAAAAATATAATTTTTGACTGTAATATAATAAAGGTTACTTTTAAATTTGTGTTACTAATTTATTTAATGAATCTATGCATCTACTAATTTAGTGCTTAATACTGATTTTTCTATTTTTTGTATTTAAAAAGAAATTCATTTCTTATTTTTCATTTCTTATTTTAATAATTGAAGATTAAAAAATTTTCCAATTGTACTTCTTTGTCTTCAGGATGAGAAATGATGGCTGAAGATTTAAGTAATGTCTATTGAAGAATTTCAATAATTTATTAAGTAATACTAGATAGCTAGAAAGCTAGAAAGCTAATAGATTAGTTATTATATTTCAGCATTTTAATTAATCAGTAATATAATGTCTTACTATGAGTTAATTTAATGCTTTAATTTAACCAATATTGATTGTTTATTTAACTTATTTGCGTTACATCAATTCTTTATCTGGACACTGAGTAATATGCAAAGTACAAAAGCCATTTATTGGCAGAACCACCATTTGTACCAGAAATCCAAGAGCAAAATCTTCTCCCATTCCCTTATAATCGA